TGGCACCTTTGGTATTCCATAGGTGTCACACATCACAGTTTTAAATCTTTCCACACTCTACAAATTACAAAATAAAATAGAAATAATCCACATGAATAAATATCTATTGGATTACATCCAAAACGACACCGTCATTTTCCACATAGCTGACACTAGCCCGCCAAACCCTGGCTAACAACTGAAACCAGCTAGCCCACAGCTAGTTAGCTACTATTCCTGAAAAGTTCGGTTTTAACATCAGAACTACAAGTTACTTACACAAAGAAGCTAAACCGGAGGGCTCATTAACATTACCATTACGAAATAAAAATAATATAGATTACTTTAGGGCTAACTAGAAAAGATACCAGAACTGATGGAGGGCAAATTAAAACATGGCTGACCTGCTTGGAGCATCAAGCTAACTGAAAGTGGACTCAGACGTGCAACAGCGAAAGACACCCCCGGGTACAAAATAAGGAACCAATTTACATTTGAAAAGAAATATCATTTTGGTGAAGTTCACAATAACAGAAAATATAGATTTTCAAGTATACAAATAGCCAAAATAAAGAAGTCATAGAATAGCAATATTATTTTAATAAAAAAATGTAAAAAAAAAATGTTTGTGCTATTTATTGGGGGGGACATTTTGAGTGTATCTGAATATTGGGGGGGATGTGTCCCCCCCAATGTATATGGTGAATACGGCCCTGGGTCATAGTCTTATATTTCAACAGTTTTACGACAAACTGTGACTTTTTTGACATAGAAATTATTTTTTAAGATTGACAAACACCATATGCGTAATTCGTGGCACAATTCAAACGGGATCGAAAGATAATCTTTCTCTCTCCGTTGATAAACTCCCATGGAGGTCCACCGGAAGGGGAGGGACTTTGCCAATATATAGGTGTAAGCAGGGTGTAAGCAGGGGTAAAGCGTTATTTTTTTTACAAGTGGGGAGCGGACCTAACCTTCTTTAGGGGGGGTCCTCACCTCCTCTAGGGGGGTTCGGGGGCATGCTCCCCCGGGAAGATTTTTTTTTAAATATTTAAGTTAAAAGCATGAATCTGGTGCACTTTTAGAGCAACATTAGGAGATATGGATACATCTTTCAACACCCATATGAAACTACAGATTTTCTTTTTCTTTATGGATATTTTACAAATCACTCTCCTGTGAATGACTGTGTAATAATGTAAGGTAGCTTCTAGCTTCATGTCGAACACTGACAGTAAATCAACATTTTTCAGAGGATTTTTTTAATCACCAGGTAACGCTAAAAAACATAACATTTATATTGTATGACAAAGTGTTAATTTAATATCTCTGGCTAGCTATAGCTACTTGCTAACGGTTTAGCTTACCCGCCTGATTCAAAGTAAGGTCAACAACGTAGCAACAATTTATGCTTTGCTTCATTGGTCGCATAACTTGGAAGTGTACTGACATTTACATACCTTGTTTACTTGGCGCAAGTGGTGGCTCTGGGGTGTCTTTTTTTAAGAAAAACATTTCTTATGTCCATCTTCAAAAACTCCGAGTCCGACTGACAGTTTAAACATCTCTCTGGTGATTGGTCTGGTGTCTTGCCTCTGTTGCATTCACTGAACACGGGAAATTACAATCCTGCCGTCCTCTCTAGTGTCATGATGAGGTTCAGGTAAAGCACGGTTAATGTATTATATTATTGAGGGAGAATTGTCCGCGGATAAAGAAAAAACATCCAGGGCTTAATCCGATTACAGCAAATCAGTACCGACTCAGTGAATGCCTAGCAGATTTTTCAACAATCTCGTCTGTACAATACAGAACCACTTTGTGTTTTTTGTCAACAGACCCCATTTCAGGGTGCCAGCATTGTTCCATTCCCACTTCCTGTCCAACACACACTCTACTCTGAGGGATTGGGATTAAAATGAGTACACACCATCAGACAAACAAGTAGCAATCACTAAACCACTGGATTATTTATTACACCTGCTTCTTTTTCTCTGCCCCAATCTTTCTTTCTACCGACTTCCCTCTCCCAAGGCAGAGGCGGTCGCTAAGCAACCCACACAACACAACAGTGCGGCTCTCCAACTTGGCTCTGCTCGATGTGCCCCTGTGGTTTCAGACAAATCAAATACATGAGTGTGTGTGTGCATTCACTCAGAATGTGTATGTGTAAAAGTGAAAGCTATGAATAGTTTCCATCTCATGAGCTAAAGTCAATAGTCCCTTCAGTTTTGAAGAGCTGCCTCTTGACTAGAGTACAACATCATCTAGCATTCATCTGGGATTTATTACAAGGCATCCAACTCTGAACTGCCTTAAACAGAAAGGACAGAAAGGAATAAGAGCGTGAACATGTGAAGAGATATGCTTTTAATTCACTGCAGTTGAATAAAAACACCAGAAAGCCAACTGTCGCACATCAAGGCCTACATGGTTCCTGGTAGAGCAAATCTGTAGTAGTGTCTCATATGAGCTACACAATCGCAGCTTCTATTTGTTGGCAACACATCTGAGTTCCAAGAAGTGATGCCTGGATCAGCAGAGGCTTTACAATGGATAGATTCCTCAGTGTGTACAGGCTTTGGTTGGAGCATGCTGTGCTTCCTCTGATCTACCTGCAAAGAAACCCTAAAACAAAGCACACCCCGGTAATGGCAACATAAGCCTTCATCAAATCACTGCGGTACATTATTGATGCGATTATACAAAACACTGCGTTTTGTGCAGCCACATCGCCACTCACACAGGTACAAATGCTATCCGAGCCAGATCTGTAGAAAAATAATAGACATCACTCCGTGTGAACCCACTAATAAAAAGACGTTCACAGATTTGTATGAGGTTACGGTAAACCAGCTAGCTGCTTACAGAGAAATACATTCGAGAAACTAGTGATCCTCATGGCTTTACAAAAATATACATTTGTGGGCACGCACAGAGCGACACAACACCCCGATAGTTTAAAAAAGAAGGTAAAAACGGGAGATTCCGTCAGTTTACAAAATCAAAAGCTCAAGAACAAATGGCACTTACTGTAACTATAGCGGTATAGGAATCTCCGGGGCAGCATTACAGCCACACACGTAAACACACACTCCCACAGATACGACTCAGATTGGAGGGGCGATCAGTAGACAGACACTAGGCTGCTTCACGACACTCAAGGCCTCCAATTCAACCAAATTCAGGAAGCTCATTTGACATACATTTCAATAAAAGGCTAGAGACATTTCACCTTGGCTGGATAAGAACAAAAACAGAAGTGATCCTAAGAATTAAATAACAAAATTTAGAAATATCAGGTTCTTTTACAACCCACATCTTGTCTAAGTAAAAGAAAACCCCCTGCTTTTAGCATTTCTTATTTTCATAATTGGCATCACAACAATTTAAACACTGTAATACAATGTTAAATAATTTCATGTTAACTCTGAGTAAGAGTCCCGAGTCAATGTTGTTAATTTGCAGGTGATATTTTAAGAATGTCAGATCTGTTGTGGGACTTTAAATGTTTCAAATTCTCTCTTCTCCTTAATTTTCAATATTGATCGTTCCCAAAATAAATATCCCATGGCAGGTGTAGAGTAGCTTCAGGCCTCCACCACCTCTGTGCTGGGCTCTGGGCCTCCCTCTGGGGCGGGGGCCAGGGGTCCGGCCCACCACAGAGACAGAGCGTTGTCCTGTCTGATCTCCTGAGGTGACATCACAGCCTCTCCTCCCTCGCCCTCAGAGTCGCTCTCGCCGGGCGACGGGAACTGCCGCTGCCCGCTGGATGTTGCCAGCAGTGGCATGAAGGGATGAATACTGTGAAAGAAAATCAAGAATTGGAGGAAATGAAAATGATGGCGATTCAAAAAGAAGTGAAACCACTGGTATTTTTGCACTGCCGTGCTGGGGACTCTATACACAATTATAGCCGATTCACAACCGTGAGGCACAACTTCTAGTTCATCAGCTACGAAATACAGTCGTTTTCAGAAGTGCACACAGCAGCTGTGGTTATTGCTCTGTGTTCTCACGAAGAACAACACCACTGTGTGATATTAGAAGTCGGACATTTGAATCCTTTTATTTTCTCTTATCTAAAATACGTTTGGATGATTTGTTTGCATTTCCTAAGCTTTTGTGTGACTGATATGGGGAAGAAAACAAGACACTGGTTGTATTTGACTCCCGACAACTATCCCATGACCAGGACTGTTGAGTTTATATTTTTTACCAATTTATTTCAAACAATACATTTTTGTAAAATCAAGGCTAATTCTTTAGCCCTTATCCTCCATGGAAAGTAATGACGACAAAAAAATCCACTTTTGTTGAAGCCAATATAATGAAAAGAGTCATTATAAATCAGAACATGTTTTCAATAATTACTAATGTATCCCAAAATATGTCAGAGTATCTAAACAATTATGTGAAAAATACTCTAGTCATCTCTTAATATGTCAAAATAAGGACTAAGTATCTTTAATTAATGAAAATAATTCTTGAATATTATAACTTTATATCTCAAAATAAAGACTTAGTATAAGTGGAACTTACATAAGTCGTTAGTTTTATCTTTTGTCACAAGGCTAAGTTTTGATAAAAAAAAAAAAAAAAACCTTAGTCAACTTTAATCTGACACTTCATCAGCACCTGAAGCAGTAATACCCAGGTTAGATGTTTTTTAGCGATCGTACCTGATGCCGTTGGTGCAGTCCCAATGGGCGTTGAACCTGAGCTGAGGTTGCAGTAACTCCTCGTCTCCATTAGGAGGAGCTGTCAGGGTGTCCCAAACCGACACAACCCCCCCTGTGTCCCCGCTCAGCAGGTACCTGCCAGACCTGCTCAGAAACAAACAAACAAAACAAGGTCACAAATGATGGATCAGCATTTACACACCCATGTTTAACAAGAATGTCGATCTAAATGAAAAGATGTAGAAAAGCAGGAAGAGTGACACTTTGCTCATTTACATTAGAGCACAATTCTAGGTATTGAAACAAACGTACGGGTCCAGATCAAAGTAGATGCGTTGGTTAGTGGCGACGTTTCTCTTCAGTGAAAACAAAACCTTGCCTGGGTCTCTTAGGTCCCAGCACAGGATTTCTGGATCCTACACAAACACACACACACAGTTCACAAGAGTGTATTGTCTGACCACAGGCAGTAAATGTTTGCACAACCACTAGCCCTGTCAATTATTGCTTTGACTTTCTACTGGTTCCAAATAGAACTACAGTGTACAGACCAAGTGTACTCTTGACCCCATCGCTAAATTGCAGATCAATTAACTGGCAGGGTGACTGGCATGCTAAAGACTAACTGTGTAGACTCTGGAATGCTTAACAGGTGTATATCTAATCTGAACAAGACGCCATACGGTAACAGGAGTGAATGGGGGGCATTGAAGCACACAGAGGTTAATGGCTATGAGGTCTGTGCATTAGTTTGTAAATAGAAAACTTAGGGCAGACTCCAGACACTGTCTCCAGACACTTTCTAAAAGCAGAGGAAAATAAAAGCTAATTTTGAAACTCTAATGGGTGCAAATTGAACTGCCGCAGCCCCTTTGTGAAACAGTGAATAATTCAGACTTTGGGGGAATGCAATAATAAATCAGAACAATTAAAAGCAGACTCATGCACTCAAGACAGGAAAGTAGCATAAAAAGCTCTCGTCCTAAAGCTCTGACGATGCTTTGTAATTCCATTTAACCGCCATTTGTTACCTACTTCACACACAAAGCCTCCTGGTGGTGCATATATGATGCATGATTACCCAGAGGTCCCTTGTCTGCATGCTGTTCTATGCAAGTGTGTGTTCACCTTGCGTCCTCCGGTGTACAGGTAGTTGCCGTCGGGGGAGAAGAGCAGATGGGTGAGGCCTCCGTGGTGGCGGGTGGGCAGCAGGGCCAGCTGGGAGCCGTCTTGGCAGGAGTAGAGGCCAGCGCAGCGGGAGTAAGAGCCGCAGGCGTAAACAGACTGGCAGGGGCTGAAGCCGAAGCAGGAGATAATGCCACTTTGGCCCTGCTTCTTCACTGCAGCAAAGACAACAGAGTGGCATTTGGCAGGGCTTTAATACAAAAGGTTCACGAGAAACAAGTCCCAATCACTTCTACTCAAAGTCACAATTTCTGGCATTTCCAACATCCCCGATCTTAAGGGGGAAAACGTTTCTCACAATGCGCACATTTTAGGGTTCAGTGGTTCATGTATTCATGCAAAACCCATCACATATTTGACATGCCTGAGTGCCTGAAACCTTTAGCCATGCCCAGTTAGCAACAGGTAGATTGGTGTGCAGCAAAGGGAGAATTGTGTATAAGATGTCAACAATGTGTCTGTTTGTTCACAGTGTTCTGCTTAAAGAGGACACATTCTGCTCATTTTCAGGTTCATATTTAGTGTCTCTACTTTGACATGTTTACATGTTTTAATGTTGAAAAAGCTCTTTATTTGTCTCATACTGCCTGTGCTGCAGCACTTCTTTTCACCCTCTGTCTGAAACCAGAGCCCAGTCTGTTCTGATTGGTTAGCTGGCCGGCTCTGTTGTGATTGGTCAACCGCTCAGATGTCCCGCCCCTAAGCATAGCAGGTACAATCTGTTGGGCGCTAACCAATAAAAGCACGAGTTACCTAGTGATGTCACTGTTATAGAACTTTGGGATTTTAGCCTTTGCAAAAACCTATAAAAATACTACAGGAAAGGGAAAAGCTCAGAAAGCTAAAACATTGCCTCTTAATTGCAATACATGAATGCTAAGGTGCTTAGAATGTATATGTATAGCCATTGAGAAACTAAATGAAAAACTCTGAAGTTGTATATTTCAGAATACATAGCATAAGAGAAGCTTTCAGTTTCATAGCCTATTGTGACTATCTGTCCTGTGGTGGATTAGAATGTCATACTTCAGCACGTTAGCTACAATACAGACATCCTCGGGTTCACTTTATTTCAGTATGTTTCAAAGCCTGCCATCAGAGGAAGGTTGTTTGAAGTGTTTGACAGAGATTGAGAATTCATCACAATAAACATGTGCTTCCCTTTACTTGTTTGTCAGAGGCACATAATAAAAACTGTCCTTGTTGATCTGTTCAAGGAGACGTTAGACTATCAGATGAGACAGCCGGCTGTCAAACTAGCACTTTTTGAAAATAAAAGACTTCACATTATCCTTTTCACATTGTCTTTGGTTACTAATTGTTTGTCTTGTGGGTTTGCTTTCCTTAGAACATTGCTTTTGAACACAATTACTTTACAGTTAGTGCCCTTGAACAGCATCAAGTTATGAAAGTTTTTCCCTGCTCTCAAAAATGAATACAAATAATTTGTTATAATTAATATTAAGATAATATCCTTGGAATTAAGTTGAGGGTGATTGGTAGTCTATAAGATAAATAAAATAACTGTGCGAGAGCAGTTGATAACTGACCTACGGTGGGCCATTCCTCACAGTCTCTTCCTGGCCGATCGGTGTAGAACACCCTGACGGTTTTGTCGAAGCCGCAGTAAAGCTTCGATCCGTCGGGCGAGAAGCAGAGAGAGTGGGCCGCCGTCAGCTCGTCCAGGTGATTGTAAGGTCGGAAACTGGCTCGCACCTTCCCGTAGAATGCATCCCACAAGTGGACTGGGTTGTCACGGCTACTGCTGGCTAGACTGCGGACGAAGAGTGAGAGGTCAGACGATGAAAAAGTGTAGAAAACAGTGAGTCATATGAGAAAAGGGATAAACGGAAGGCAGACAATAGGAAGTGAATGATGCAAGAACATATTACTTGAGCAGTATAAATAATATAGTCTACTTGTCTATAAAAGTGGAAAAAGTTGTACTTGAATATCAGAGGATACAGATCTGATTGAATTTGAATACGCTGCTGAGATTCTCTTGAAATATATATTATGTATGACCACAAATGGTCTCGTTTGATACAGTTTCTAACCTCTACCGCACCAACCACCTGAATGTATCAATGCATCACAACCAACACGCAGCATTGTGCTACGCCTCATTATGGAGACAAGACCAGAGCACGCACTCTTATTGATTCAAATCAGGGCCAAAGACTGAGCCATGCCTTTTTAACTCTAATTACTGGGCGCTATACAAATGGCGAAAACATCACTGCGGCTCAATTAGACAAAGGAAATTAGCCCCTGCCACTGCTGCCGTGTTCTGTTACGGCCCCTCTGAGCCGCTGCTTTATACCGCAGCCGGGAAATGCTCAATTATAATGCTAGACTGCTGCTAGCTTGGAGCAATGCCTAGAAGGCAGTGCAACTTAACCGAGCCATAACGGGGGCCCTTATTCCCTCTCTACAGGAGGGGGCATCAACAACACACGGCTTTTGGCAGACAGAACTTCAAGGAGCTCAGGGGGAGGAATGAGAAACAAAAAGAGAGTTGTGAAAAGAGGGAGGAGAAAGACAGTAAAGGCCATCGGGAAAATCCTTAAATGTGTTCAATAATCACAACGTTTCATCTTTAACAATCTACTCTGAGCTCGCCCGACCGCCTGTGCCCTTTAGAGCCCACCTGTCATGTGTGGCATAGATCTGAAGAAGATGAAGAATATTTGCTGTCAGCTCCTGCTGGCATCCTCCTCTTCATGACAGACAGGTCTTTGCACGGCTTTGGCAGACACACACAGGCCTCTCAAGAGGTTCACTGTCCACACGAGTCGTTTGTTTATCATTGTGCTGTTTACACAACTCTCATCTTTGCTTGCTAGCTCATGAGACCCCCCCTGCCTACTCTTCTTCCACAGTGAAGGCTGTCTGGTCTTCAGAGGGCTTGACTCCAATGCTAGGCTTTGATCAGAGGGATCTTTTAGAGGGTTAGGGTCGGTAAGTGGAGGATGACAGGAGCCAGGAGGGGGGAGAGGTATACATGAGGAGAACTGTTGATAGCTTGACCTCAGCTCAGAGGTGGAAGAAGTACTTCAATCTTGTACTTCTACTTTCTACCAAATTGTAGTAATACTCTGTTACAAGTAGAAGTCCTGTATTCAAAATGTTACTCAAGTCAAGTAAAAAAGTATTGGCATCTAAATATACTTAAAGAGCATCTTTTTTACATTTATGCTTAAACTTGCTTGAAAATTACAATTAAAAAAGTGAATGGAGGATTTGATATGTTTTACGAGACATAAGGGCAGGAATTCAGAGGGAAAGGAGCAATTTTGAGCTCTGCTCTTAAAAACGGCTTTTTTTTTAAGGTCATACGTCAAACGCGTCATATTACATCACAAAGGGGAAATATCTCCGCTCTCTGACCGCGGGTATAGTAGAGTTGCGTTGAGTAGAGCGGTTGTGTTTTAGTGAGCTGGTATTTTTCGGTAGTTTTACATTGTATTTCACCATTTGTAATCATGGTGCAGTATTGTGTTTGTGCAGGTTGCACAAATACCAGCCTGTCAGGACATCGAGTCCACAACAGTCCTGCCAGTAACGTTACTATATTATCAATGTTACTTTAGTTATAACCTGATATATGATAGCTAACTTCACAATGTTGTGATGTGACGTTAGCTAACATTCTGTAGCTAACGTCGGTCACTCACCAAGATAGCTGCCCAGTTCTCCACTGGTTCTCCTCACACCACAGCTCAATTTCTCTCTGATGGCCGTTATTTCTTCTAATCCTTGGCTGCTCCTGGTCTCTTGGACGCCTAGCAGGCTCATAATTATAAGGTTGTGGTCCGTCATATGCATTCGAATATTCATGTTCAACTTCTTCTGTGTCGAAACTAGCATTGGGATCCATGTTTATTAATACGTTACACCGACCGCTCTCCCCCTTGTGTCCCCCGTGTTACGTCACACGTGGGAGGTCACGTGCCGAGGCTTTTTTATGCGGAAGTGAAAATGTCTTACTAAAACGACGCCAGATGTCACTGTAGTTTATATTTCTGTATATTTTTTTGAAAATCTAGTGTATTCATCATTTTCCTACACATTTATTCACAGGTGTCTTTAAACTGGAAGTTGCTCTTTAACTAACCAAAAGTACTCATTATGCAGATTGGCCCATGATTATATTTCCCGTCATTAATCCATATCTGCAGGTAAAGGTAGCAGTAGAGTTACAATTGCGGTAGTAGTACAATATTAACCTCTGAATTGTGGCGGAGTAGAATAACAAAGGCGTATAAAATCGAAATACTCAAGTCAAGTTAAGTACCTCCAAATTGTACCCAAGTACAGTATTTGATTACATTTACCTAGTTACTTTACACCACTGAAATGAACCTTGCGTGGATGTGTCAATGAAAGCACCTGTCACGCACAGTTGGAACATCCTCCATGCCTCCCACTACTAGTTAATTGTTCGAAGACAGCGCCGTTCTCTCTGACAGATACAGAAATACTTAAAAAGCCATGTATACCTGGGTGTCCCGCCAGAATTAAGTCTATGTGTTGGAAACACTGCATGGCTGTTACTCTAGTCAACATGTAGAGCCAGCTGAAAAAAACAGACATGAAAAGAGAAGCCCAAAGTCAGGGAATCGTGAGGCCCTTTTAGGTGTCTGTTCCCCGGGAGGGCTGTTAGAGGGATGAAACGCGCAGAACAGCGCTGTCGGCCTCAAACAGCCAACGCATTGCAGCGGAGGCAGAGGCAGACTACACTGAGGCCAACTCTTCACTCATAATGAGAGACATCAGAAAGCTTTTACAGCCACATCCACACTGGCAGCTGGCTCCCACAACGAGTGCAAACACAGAGGGGATGAAAGTATGAGTCACAGGCATACAACGATACCCTCTGCGCAGTCTATTACACCGAATGTCTTCAGTGTCCACTAACCATCCAAGATCTAGATTAAAAACACCAATCATCCGCTGACACCAGCCTCTATAAACAACTGTTTATACATCCTTCACCATGTGGCGGGCTGACCTTCATAGTGAACTTTAAATGTCTCATCTATCCAACTGTTAAGAGCTGAGGCTCAGGGCAGCATCTGGCAAAGATCAAGTGGAACTCACAAGCATGTGTCCGCGTCCAGAGAGTTCATCTTGGGGTACCAGCAGTAGTCGTAGATGGTGTCGCCCTCTGCCATCCTGAGCACTGGACTCTGCCGCAGAATTAAACAAAGAAAGAAGTCAGGAATGTAAAGACTTCGAGACAAAGACTGATGGGATTGATCTGCACTAATGCTGCTACTGAACAGGTGGCTACAATGTCACAGACTTTTGTCACGTAGTCAAATGAAATATCAGATCATGCACCATTTCAGAAATAGAGCTCAATTATCTACCCTTTTCACAAGCGCTGAGGCATTTCTGTAATAGGAGGGAAATTGATTATATTTCCATTATTTTTGTTCAGTGATCCCGATCTACCAGCCTGTAATACAATTAAGAGATTGGCTCGCTACTTGATACCTCCCCAAACCTAAAAGGACAGAATGTCTATTCTATTCTCACTGTTAAATCTCAAGCTGCTACATTAAAGTGAATGACATGCTCGTTCTGAGTGGATTGTTACACAACATGCACACAAACAACAACATACTGACAGTCTTTGTATGAAAAGGTCAGACAACACAAGACGGGATGATGACCTTTTCTTGACAGGAAATACATCATCATTTAGAAAAAATGGGAAATATCTCAAACATTATTAGGACATTAAAAAAAAAGGTACTGCAAAACAGATGCTATTTGTTAGATCTAAATGTCAGAGCCCCACAAATCATCATTTGCATACTGTAACTCAGCAAAGATAATGAATAGGACAGATATAAAATAGATTGACATCTCCATGTTATTGTTGTATTAAATAAACGTCTTCTTCCATCTTCAATACAAATATTTGGTGAACCCCTGTTGGTAAACGTTCAGTGTGCGCACCATCTCAGGAAGCAGGTCCCAGTTGTAGCTGTAGATCTCTGGAGGGAGGTTGTACACACGGAGCACATTGTCTGCACTGTTGGTCAGGATACAGGAACCATCAGGGGCCCTAGTTTAGGAAATAAGGGAGCATGAGAAAAATATGATGATGTATCAACAGCGGTAAACTAAGAACTTTTCAACAGGTTGGTTCTATGCCTTTGTATGCAGTTATAGTACATGGAGTACTAGTATCCTCCCTTTACCAAATGTACCATCTGCACTATTGTATCTATAATGGACTGAGGATGACAAAAAGGGTGAGAGTCATTTTCCTAGCTTCATTTGCAAAGAAACAATATATCTGGAGTTAACCATGGCATCAATATGGGCCTTTTGCCATTTCTGCCAAGGCACAAAATGGGCAAGTATAATGGTCTTACATTTCCTATGGTACTCACAAAGGTTGATGCAACACATTTAAACTTCTCATCCACGTGGTGTATTATGATTCAATTTAAATGTGATAAAAGATTACCATTTGCAGCCTTTGAGGTAATTCTCTGGGAGGTTGGAGAACTCTGTGCAGGAACCAGTCAGCATCTGGGGATTCTGGGTAAAATCTAGGCCGACGCTGGAAGCAAGACAGAAAGAACGCCAAGTCTTGGGTTAATGAGTTTAGAAGACAGTAATGGGAATTTCACACAAAAAACTGAAAGACGAAATACTCTTTCTTACTAATGCCAAGGGCATAATATTACAAGAATAAATGAAACAACAACATTGACTTGTAAATTGTGCTAAGAACTGGTTTAATTAGGTGAAATATAATCCAATAAATGTCCTAGCCCGGGACAAAACTGTTGCTGCATATAAACCACAATGTCAACTTGCACAAAGCCCAAGAGTAAGAGTTAGACACAGTGTCATCACACAGTGGACTAGATTGTTTATCACAGTATCTACAGGTTAAATCCATTATTATGTATCACTTGTGATGATATCCAAATGTTGCTATTGTGATTAACCATGTGCAATACTTTACCTCAAAATCACTGCTAACATCAAATGCTGTCTCGGTGTATTTATCAAAAATAGTTTAATTACAAGTCCCTCACAATTACATGCTTGGCTTTGGCTAAGGAAACTGAAAACAGAGTCTATTTGTTTTAAATGAACAGTGTGCTTTAGTTTCATTAGTCTTATTTGTTTGAAGGCCCATATCATTATATTTGTGTCCGTATTTTAAACATGGTTGATCGCATCAACATAGGTAAAACTCATGATTTTACTGTTCTAAAGCTGGATTTGTTTTACTTACCTATATTTTATACACAATTAAATGAAATATGCAGTTTGTGAGAGAGCCGACTTGAGTCAATTTCTCTTCAAAATATAATTGATTGCCAGCCTCCCTTGGCTGGCTTGCTAGCTCGTTGGTAACGTAACTGATTTCTTCTAATGTGCCTGCATCTGGCGCTGAGTTGCCATATTCCTTTCATGAACCACTTCCTGATATCCATTGTTGCAGATAAATATAAATGATAATAGCCAAACTAACCTAGCAAGAGTAAACTGACAGGCTGTCAGTTTACTCTTGCTAGGTTAGTTTGGCTATTATCATTTATATTTATCTGCAACAATGGATATCAGGAAGTGGTTCATGAAAGGAATATGGCAACNTGCGGCACAGCAGCCTGTCAGTTTACTCTTGCTAGGTTAGTTTGGCTATTATCATTTATATTTATCTGCAACAATGGATATCAGGAAGTGGTTCACGAAAGGAATATGGCAACTCAGCGACAGATGCAGGCACATTAGAAGACATCAGCTACGTTAGCAACGAGCTAGCAAGCCAGCCAGGGACAAGGGAGGCTGGCAATCAATTATATTTTGAATAGAAATGGACTCTCAAGCCGGCTCTCTCACAAACTCCTTCTCTGTGCGCANAACTAATCTTTCAACATAGTTTAAAACTAAAATAAATATTAGGACAAAGCCCTACAAATAACAACAATAAACATAATAATAAAATAATTAAAATATTGTATTTAGCCCTGATTAAAACAGCAGGACCAAATCCTGGATGGGCGGGCCCGGCCCCATGGGGCCCATGACGCCGGGTATGATTGCATGTACTGAAGAGCAGTACCTCCTGTCGAAAAGAAGCTAAAAGTGTTTCAAAAATACAAATAAAAAAAACAGCTAAGAAAACAGGAAGGTTTTTGGAGATCAAGTACCCTTAATTTAATTTATACACAGAAGGTGGGGAAAAAACAAGTCACATTTTTGTTTTAGTGATTGCAAAAACAGCCAATCAAAGAATCTGATCAAGAAACAAGGGCAGTAGTACCACCACTTATTGCATTATAATATTTCGGACTATGTGACCTTTTTGCAAAACAACCATTTTTTTTCTGAAATACATACTCAAAACCATCTTTCTCCTTTCCAGATGTGTTTAATTCATGTTTGTAATCCGACATAGGATCTCCACCTCCCACAATCCCACATGATGGTGTGAGGGCTGTATATTTACCCCTAGTTATGTGGAAACAGTGGTTAAAAATAAACCTGACTTCATGGTCCTCCACTTACCACTGTGCTTCACTGGGGCTGTCTGCAGATCCGTCACCGTTTGGACCATCCTCTGGTTTTGCCTCTCCTTCTTCTGTGGGTGCATCATGCCCTACGTCTCCATTCTGAGGCCATTCTTCTTCACCTTCTCCACTGACGGACACCTCTTCCCTGACTTGACCTTCTTCCACACACTGTTTTGGTTCTCCTGTTCCTAGAATCAAAGAGTAAAGTTCAATAATCTGCTAAATAAATACTCACTGACCCCCAAAATGTCATCTGAATGTATAAAGGTTTCCCCCCTTATTTTATTTGATACATGCACTTGAAAATACTCTACTTTGTGGTGGTGATGCTGGGCCTTCCTGCAGCAAGACAACCTGTGCTGGTGTTTCTCCAAGCATCTCGACAACCTGCTCCAGTCCCTGTTCCTCCTCGCTTATTCTGGGACGTTTGGCAGGCAAAGTTGCCCCTTCATCCAAGGTCGCCCCCACCTCGAAGTCATCACCTTCAGGCAAAGGTGGAGCCTGATGAGGGGGCTCATTATCCCCTTCAGGGTCCTGCCCTGCTCCTGTCGCACCTCCACTTTCCCCACCTCCAGCTGTTTCAGACATCTCTCTTTGTTGATCTTTTTCTCCTGTCAAGTCCTGTACCTGGCGTCCAATTGCCTTGTGTCCTTTGTTTGGCTGTCAGACGTGAGTTAGGTGAGTGCTACTGGGATAGTGCTTCTTCTTGCAGTATCGGTGTTTGAGTCTGCTGGGGGTCGAGGACATCACAGCACCCGCTAGCCTAGAACACAGTGACGAGGGTAAATGAAGTAAAGAAAGGTGAGGCCAGTTAAGTCAATCAAGACAATGGAACACAAGTGTTACAGTAATTCAAGAATATATGTGCACTTTAAAAATCATAGACACATTAACCGAGGTGAATGACACGTTCTTGTTAAAGGAATTAGTAATTGACTCAAAACCGCTCGTGCAAACACCTGTGGAAGGACATGCCACTCCAAACTAGCATTAATGTTAATTTGGCTAAATTCGCGCTTTGGAGGTATGAGTTACTTCAAAGAGTCTCACAGGTCTTACCCTTTGCATGTATTACTGCCTTTTAATGCCTTTAATGATGCTAAAAATTACGCAGAATGTAAAATGTTCCTCTAGTCTTCGGTCCATAACAGAAACGACAACCCACCTCACGTTAGCTTGTTAGCATGTAGCCTAAGCTAGCATTCGGATGTTACCTACTTGTGTTGAGGCTTGCCCGGCCTTTGGTTCTGCCTGCAATTCCGTTATAAACACTTTCACCCTCGACGGCGTCAGAGTTTCACCCAACGCCGGTGTGTGCGAATAAAACGCCCTTCTTCCACGAGACTTGTCTTCACCGGTTTATTGATAGTAGTTGTAAACACTGTGGGCCGCCACGTGTTTAAAACTCTCGCGATACTAACGCTGATGACGCCAACGCGCTCATTCTAATTCATGAGCACAGCATGGTCTATCTGTCTCATGTAAACATGATGTTCATATCCCAACCGATCCCAACACAAAACACAAAAAAGTCAGTGACTGCTAAATGCTATTTATTTTGTATTTATTTTGTTCTTCAAACAAACAAAAGCCAAACTATTTACACATCTTTCAGTTGTTCTTTTCCAAAACAGTTTATCACATTATGCTGTTATCTCAACATTCAAAGACTTGTTATTCAAGGGGCTGAGCTGACTGGGATATAACTTAACACATATTTTTTGATCCATATTGTTAGATTTACAGTTACCAGAACTAAACTGAACCAGGTTTCATACCAATTTAGGTGGACAGGACGTGACATAATCTTTTCAAAGGCTGCAATTAAATATCGTGGGCTTTTGGAAGAAACAATATTGCAGTTTATCTAATCATAAAAGCACCTGTGGTGCAGTAAAATAACTTTGTTTTTACTCTATTAAGACAGGCTGACCAACCAACAACTAATACCACACAATATCAGCATTTAAAAACATCAAACATAGATATTTTTTAAAGTCACTCTCAAACAACAGACGTGATAGTATAAAGTCAATTTTTTGTTTTGGCAACTGATAAAGCCAACATTAAACTTAGTACAGTTAGCTATCCATCAACATCTCAGCTAAAAAGATGTACAAGTTTATTACATATGTAACCTCAGTTGCAAATTGGAATAAAAACGGCATAGTGTTTAGTTGTCAATGATACAAAAAGCAACTAGTCGCCTAAAAGCATTAATCTCTCAAATCCAAATAGATATACACAAATGGAACAAGACGCTTTCCAAATTTTCAGGACAAGAATTTCCTTCTGGATAACACACAACTGACTGGCCGATTTCTTATCTATTCAGTGCATTCATATAGTCAGCAGCACTCCCCGGTGCACAAACAAAACTGCTGCAATCTGGGACAAATTGTTACGCACGTCAAGGTTCAGCATCAAAACATGGTCAAAACCCACAAATACTACACATCATGCAATCATGATTCTCACAAGACTGATTTGACATCCCATAACTGTAAAAAGTATCTGGTTGCTTCCAAAACGTTAAAGTCAACCGGAGTGTATACAAATAATAACCAAAAAGCCCCTACTTAGAAGACCTGTCACTCTGGTTCAGTTTGGCCTAGAGCAGTATATCCAACAATATTTCACACAATAATACATCTGTTTTAAGCCAATTCTGTGTATCCCCCCAGTCAGCTCAGCTCCATACAGTACAGACTTCAGCCCTTTATTAAGCCTGCACTTTTTGCAATTATCCAACAGGAAATGTGAACAAATCAATTCTAAACTTTAAGGAAACCAAAAGGGCAACACAAGCTAACCACCAGCAAAATCAGATTAATCAAAGAGTGCTTGCTCTTTCTGTAGCAAAACAGTCTCTTTCATGGTGGTTAGATGTCTCAAATTAATACAGAACACTGTCCTGTTAACAAACAGAAAACTTTTAGAAAGCTCCTTTCTCTCTTTCGACTTTAGAGGACAGTTAAAGGAGGCGGTTTCCAACTTAAATTCACCTTTTAGAGAACATTTTCAGTTAGCCGTTCAGAGCTGAACTATACAATTTAAGGCATGTTGAACAGAGAAATAAAGCAAAACCACTATGAGAGAAAAATCAAAAACACAAACTTTTACATTATTTACAAAGCTCAGCGATTATATTGAGCAATGATTTGTGTGTGTGTGTCATCTAATGTTGGTGTAGCCCTGTTGTGTGTTTGTGGTTCCAGGGGAGAGCCACTGTGTGTTGCTTTTTCTGTAGCATGTGCATGTAGTGTGTCCGCAACTAGAATCTATGTGACGTGTAGCTACTCGATTGTGTTTTGTAATGTTTCAAAGTTTTTTTTTTTGTTGTTTTTTTTGTACAATTCTTTCAGTTCATCCAGTTCCACAGCTGCAGGGATTCCTGGTGACTTTGATGTAATCCAGCCACGTCCGTCAAATCCCAATCCAGCTCTGAGTCTTCTGTCCCGCCGCTTAGAAGACCTCCACGCGACTGCCTGAGAGCTTCAGGCCGAGGTGGGGTGATGACATCTGGGCAATACGTGCCTCTTTATCCTTTTCCTCCATGGGAGATCAAGTCCCGATCCTCACACTTCCAACACAGATGGGATCCACGGCCTATAAACCTGTTCATCTTGCAACTGTCCAACTGATAATGCCAGCGGCCTGTCAAGTCTGAGGTCAAGACAGAAAAGTTTCTTAGGGTTTAAGTTCAAAGGTTTAGGGTAAACTGGTTCATGGGTTGGCTGTAGATTAGATCCTCCTGGCAGAGGGCAGCAAATAAAGCACAGCCAGACTCCTGAGAGAAGATGGAAAGAAAGAGCACAAAACCCATCATCAGCACACTGTTCAAACGTGACTTTAACCGGGAGTAAATAGATCAAATCAAAGAATATCTTACCATTGCCAAATATTGTTCCTCCTGCAGTAACTCCACAGCTCTGGAGGCAGCCATCAGGTTCGGAGAAGACCTTCAAACCCACGTCTGCCTCTTCACCGTGTATGTTGATCAAACACTCTTGGTGGGACTTTTTTGTCGAGACTGCAGCATCCGTTTTGATAAGTAACTCTCAGTCAGTCTCGGAGCCACTTTAGCAAGTCCTACAAACTTAGTCCTTGTTTTTTTTTATTTCCCTTCCATCCCCGATTATTTCAGGGTTACTGGCAAACTAAGGGAAACTCACAGCGAGTCCATTTCAAACTATACTCAAAAAGATTGGTTTTCTTGAAGAACATTCACTCCATATAGTCAACGTCGCATGTATTTTTCCTTCATCCATTTGCAAAGTTTCTTTCTTCTCCGAAAGATAATACAAAAATATGGTTATATACAGGAGGTGGGAGAAGACGTTTTTCTCGAGTCTCTTATTTCAGTTTGGGAATATTTTTTTTTCAGTGACTTTGTCAAAGTCGTAGCAATCCTCCTGTTGTAATTGTGCTCCCATCCCCAACATTGTACCTCACAGCTTGAATGAACAAAAGTGCATAGGTGAGTTGGTAAGGGCAGGTGAGTGCTTCTGAGGGTTGAGGTGGAGACAAGCGCACTAACCAGGTGTACACGTATCACCTTCTCTTCCCTCTAGGGTTTTGCAGCCCTGCACTCCACAAACAAAGCCCATCCTTGATTTCCCTCCCTTTCCCCCGTGGTGGATCATCAATTCTCCATGACCACACACAGAGGTCCAGTCAGAAGATTGTGTCCATGTTCTTGTGATACCTGCCGCTCTTCCTCAAAAAAAAAACCCAACACAACTCAATGTCCATATGGCAGAAGCGCACTTGCAAACCCCACCCGTCTCATGTGGGAACAAAAATAAAACAAATAACAAAAAACTGCACCCACAGATATCCATGTGGTTTGTAAACAACCAAAGCTCCAGTATGGAATAGAAAGAGTCTTTTCATTCTTAGTCACTATTTGTACGACCAGGATTGTAGAGGCAGTGTGTTCAACTGTTTCCAGCCCCGGTTTTTTTTTCTTCTTTTCCACTGTAAATAAAAAAAAGTTCTCGCTAAATTCTCTGAAGCTTTTTTGTATTTTGTTTCCATTTTTGAAATCTTCTGAGGAAAAAAAAATAGAATCTGGTATCAGCACGGGTTTCTTGTCATTTTTTTGGAATACATTCAATATTTTCTTAAGAAATAATACACACTTCACATGGCGATAATGAAATAAAAATTAAGGAAAAAAATTAGAACACACAACAAAAATAGCAGCCCCAAGTGCTCATTATCTTAGTCCAAATACTTTTTAAACTTTGTATATAATGTATATATTCATATATATTTTTCATTAAAAAAAGAAACTCGTCATTATCAAATTGCAACAACGAATAAGTAACACAATATGCTAACATGTCATGCACCCTTCTGTGCACTTGCACATTAAGATGCTGTTTTCTTTTCAGAGTCAGAATCTCGACACCTTTCATTCACAAGTTCGAGAGCTGACAAAAGGCAACGTGATCACACCCCAGGAAAACAGACTGGACTAACCTTCCGATGGATCACCCCTAGACTGAACTAGAAACATTTACGATATAAACTTACATACTTTACATACACTGTGCTGAGCACTGACACACAATACACTTGCTCTCAAAAAAGAGTTAATGTCTCAATGGCCACGCACCCTATCCAAGTTCTTAGGCACAAATGTGCATTCATACACATACAAAAAAGCACATGTATTCAAAATGAGTACCTGTAGTCTTAACTAATTTCTATGAACAGTAAATGAACATGAAAACTCACACATACAAAGTCTCACTCTGATGCACGCACAGTAATGTCCCTCATGATTCGCCCTGTCTGCCAGTCCTCACAGGTCTACCGACGGCTCCCCATGGGGAGGGGCTTAAGGGGAAATCAACTAGTGGTGCCATCGTGTGATGAGCGCAAAGCTAACATTTACAAATGTATGCATTTCTATTTTGTCTATCATGGGGATGAAGAGCTGGTGAGAGAAAGGATGTGTTGTGCAATTGCCCTCTCTCTCTCTGTCTCACTCATTCAACTCTCACAACGTCCCTGTTTGGAGGAGGGACACACACACACACACACACACACACACACACACACACACACACACACACACACACACACACAAACGCGCTCCTGCTCTTTCTCAGACTCACACACCTACCTACCAGGCGGAGTGGATGACGTTGACATGGTGGGATTCCTGATCTTAATAACTGTCCAACCTGTGTCTCCTTGTCTATCTCCTTGGTATCTGTCTGAAAGCAGGGCAATCTTTTCCACAAACAAGCATTAAAGCATATACTTGAGGTCCAGTACTATGGATTTTTGTGGTTATATTTGATGGTTAATTTTGTGGTCACTTTGTGGTACAACTCAACACAGAAGATTCTCTCCGGAGATTAGGACGCTATCTGGAAAGATCTTGCTGTTTCTCTTTTTTTATCTGAGCTATAAATTAATATTTCCCATAAAGTTTGTTCAACAATTAGGGGGAACTCACCGTTTAAAAAAAATCATGCAGTATAGAATGAATTATGGCTGCAGTTTTTGCCTGTATATTTTATCTGCTTGGAATCTTCAAGTCTTAAGCAGCTTCAGAAAAGACACTGGTGCTTTCTGCTTGAGTCCCTACAATCCTGAGTGACCTTTTGTAAGTTAAAGTTTGACCTGTTGTTTTGTCTACCCATAAAATATTCCAGAGGTACAAAGACAAGTCACTTATAGAAGCTTTAAACATCCTGGAGGACACACAACATGAGAACATTTGACTTAAACTACCCCCCTCTTTATTTTTTCTGAGCAAAAGACACTGCCAGTTAGTCCGTCCCCCGTAAGTGCAAAGCACTGTTCTTTTTGGACAAACCATGACAATATCAGTCACTAGAAGAGGACGGGCCAAAAGCTGATCCATATCAATTCCCCGGTGCCCACACACAAACATCTATCAGACCCCCCCAGCTGAGCTCTGGAACCAGAAAGTCTCAACCAATATCGTGCAAAGGTGTTAAACTAGGAGCATTTCCAGAACCAACCATCAGTCCTTTCACCACACACACACACACACACACACACACACACACACACACACACACACACACACACACACACACGCGTGTTAATTCCTCACACTTCTCCACACCCCCACAGAGAGCAGAACACAAGTCTTGTTTGCTTTGGATGGCTCTGCGAGGGGACCTCCATGGTGGACAAACTAAAACACACCGCTGTACCACAGCCTGAGTAGTCATATCGCAGTGCTGCTGCAGAGATCATCACAAGTTATGCAACAATCCACATTGCATCCAGCTGGTAATTTCTGTTTCATGTCTCCTTGAGCTCCATGGTGCACTGGTGCATGCTGTGTATCAGTTCGAGTCAACCTTTTAATGGGATTTCTGGTTCTAGTGATCACACTGCTGCATGGCCACACTTGGCCTGAAAGTGTCAACATGCGTGTGATTGAATCAAAATCAAAATGTGTGGGAGTCAGATCTCAGTGTGAGGCTGACTACTTCCTTGTGTGGCTTAGAAGATCCAGTAGCTACATGGGCAAAATCCAATTTTTGTCAATTTAAACCTGTCACTTAATACACCCGTGCCTCACACTGAAATATTAGTTGTTCTGAAGCGACATGTGTAACCGTAGCCTTAAATTATCCCCCAGTTTGAGATTTTTTAAGATTAATTTAAAGTGGTTTGTCTGTCCTGCTGTCTTTTTATCTTATTTGATCTAGTCACAGTGAAGCTGCTTTCCTCGCAGTCGCGATGGAGTGAAGAGCATTATGTAGATAATGCCCCACATTAATCTCACACTGCCCTACATATTCAGGGTTAAAGGTCAAAGCAATTTCATGTTGTCGTAACGTATTATGATCCTAATGTCCTGGTTTCATATATTACTTAAATTGTCCCTCCCTCTATCCCTGCTTACACAAAACGTAGCATTATTTCCGTTCATAATGCTACGTTTTTCCAGTTTAAACTCTTGCATTTGAATGATATAAAATAACTTGAGCTACTCTTTTTGTTTAATATGCATATAGGGCCTACTTGTTTTTTTACCACATGCTTCTTCAGAGAACCGCAATAAGATAATCCCATGTTGTCTTAATGACTTTTTAATGGGTTGTAAATAACAGAGAATGACAGCTCACTGTTGGGAAATTACTGTTTGGTTTTCAAATGTTATTACTTCCAAATAAACAGCAGTATATCTTTGAATATCAGTTTGTGCAGTCAGGGGTTTTCTTTTAGAGTGGTCATTCTCAAATGCCGATCTAAATTCTCAGTGTTTTGACAAAGAGGAAAACAATATTGTATGCATTCAAACAATTAACCACAATAATTAATCATATCTTGTTTTTCAAGGATGACTCAACAGGGTATGGGAAAAGGCAAAACATTAATGTGTTTTTGTGCCGTGACGAAACCAAAGAGCATGCCACTTCTGCAAACTACTTCATAATTCTCCTCGGATATCACACACACCCACACACACGCACACACAAAACACATGCACACACACTCTCTCCAGAATAGTCCAGATTTAAGACCTGTCGCTGGTGTGGAACTTAGTGAAAAGGAGTATCCTGTGGGGCCCTTGGGGGCCAGAAAACTACTATGTAGCTTTGTATGTGTGCTTGCGGGTAGATGTGTGCGTGTGTGTGTGTGTGTGTGTGTGTGTGTGTGTGTGTGTGTGTGTGTGTGTGTGTGTGTGTGTGTGTGTGTGTGTGTGGTGGCAGAAAGTGACCCGAGAGGCCCAGCTAGTTACAGCCTCTCTGCTGGAGACCACCACTTCCACAAAACAAGCATTGTTGGTGCAGAGCTCCAGACACCAGAGACACACACTGGAAACAACTTGTATGTGCACACACAAAAATACATGCACACCACAGGAAGAAAAAATGTTTGCAGTTTGAAGCGGTAATTCTAACAGAGGGCATGTTCTGTTAGCTATGATTAAAATCACAAAGTCCCACGGAAGAGTCTCGTCTATCACAGAATTTCACTAGGAAACTGTCTCTATCTCACACGCACACACACAGTACAATGTACAAAATGGGGATCACTAACAATAGCCCCTGGGTGGTTGGTCAGACTATTATTGTTGGTGTTTCTATGTTAATTATGTGTGACTGAGAGCATGTCAAAATCAGTTACTGGAAATAATGTGGTGAGCTGGAAATTGTGAGGTGGAATTACTGTGCCCACAAAAAAAAGGTTTATTGAGTTACAACAGTGACTTTGTCACACAATGAGTACTGTTCTGAGACACTGTGCCAAAGCCACTGGATCAATGTTATTACTCAAACGATGCAAAACAACATAAGGAAGACATCATCAACATCATCATCATCATCATCAGAGAGGGGAGGGGAGGGGGGCAGCATCATGACCTCCACTTCTGGCTGTGCGCGCTGCAGAGACCTAGTTGGCTGACAGGATAATACGTCAGCACCTCTCACCGCTGGAGTATAACCCCCTCAAGCCTCTGGTGGTAACACAAACGTAAGCGTAAAAGTAGCAGCTCCAACTGTTGCCCGGACTAACCCATTCAGCATCCACGTCTCTCACAGCCTGACAAGGAGGAGTGAGACGGCTCGCCGAGCACGAAGCGGAAAAGTGCCGAGAAGAGCTGGAACATTTACGCACAGCCTTTGTTTCTGGATTGTGTTTGCGTGTTAAAGTCCACCTTTGATCATCTTGGACATTTTTCTGCACCTCTTGGATTTTGTATTCATTTCAGCACTTCAATGGCAGCTCTGAGAATGAAATTCTCGCACCTGTTCGTGTTGATTTTAAACTGTTTCCTGTATGGTGCTGCGTCAGTTAAGATCATGAGAGGGCGCACACAGGACAGTAGCTTCCTCCAGCCCTCGTTGGACATGTTCTCAGATGACCCGGATCAGGACATGGTCTCCCACCACATGTCCAAACTGTACGAGAAATACAACAGGGAAAACCGACTCAAAGGGGGAAATACTGTCAGGAGTTTCAGAGCAAGCCAAGGTGTGTTAAGAAATAGATTTACCTGCATTAAATAAGCGAAATTGCTCAAATTCTGTTTTTTATTTAATTATGAAACATTTAAGAAAACACGTTTAAGCCCTTAGTGCACCTGTAATCCGACGCAAAAGGAAAAATAAATAGTCATAAAGCTCCCCTGATCCTCTCCATGGATGGTTATTAAAGTGCAACCGCTCAGCTAGATGGTTTTTGCAGACGCTCTAAATAGGTAGGATTGTTTTGGAACAGTCTGAGAATGCATTTAAATGATTTTGGGATGCTGTGGGCACACTGTTTGTGGCAGCAGCTGTGCCCCCTTCTGCTGTGGAGTCTGATCAATTACCGCAGACAGACGCGCAATAAGTGCAAGAATGCATGCAATTCCCTGCCAGCAATGCCCGGCTTCACACAGTGAAACCTCAGCGGCAGTTACGCGCTGCATAGGTTCATTGTCGTGGCTTCTCCATGCTCCTGTTGTGGCTACAGGACATGTGTGACTCCACGTCATGGAGTCAAGGGGCTTAGAGCACAGTCGGTCCTCTCTGTCTGATGCTGTTTTTATAAACACAACTCATAGACATTTATATCCCTCATGGTTCTCAGATGGCATATGATAACACGTGTGTATTTTTACTGCAGAGGCTGGGTGTAATACAAGGAGAGATGTAAGAGAGTTTTCACAACAATGTAAGATCTGTTAAAACAGTTGATTATGTCTTGGTGTCTGGGCAGAGAGCGCTGGCTGTATTGGGCTTAAGGGTGAGCTTTAAGAGAAACTGAGGTAAGCATTTCCATATGCAGGCTGAATCCGAGGTAATGTATATCTCTTGAGTCAGTCCATACTTCCGCTGAACTCTTATACAATGAACAATAACTCTGCTGTTGAAGTTAATGTTCATCATGAATATTTAGCTCTCCGCTCACCCTCCTCTACCCCTGCCAGCCAGATCCCCAGAGCCTGGTTCCTCTTAAGGGCACCTTCGGAAATCCTACCAAAGCGTGCAACCGTTTAACAGCCACACAGCAGTCATGTAACACAGAACAAGGAAAGGTGTTTAACTTTTAAACCTGAGCAAGAGTGCTTTAAGTGCAGTTTGATACAAAATGGTTTTGTCCTTAGT